CACAACAGAGCCTGACCCAGTGCGCTTTATTCCAGGAACAAGAGGATGATTTAGTTCATAAGAGTTAATAAGTCAACACATTAATAAGTCCAAGGAGGAAAGGCATTTGATGATTTTGGTAGATACAGGAAAGCCTTTGATGAAACTGAATATCCATTCGTGGTGTGCACTCTTGGCAATTAATGTAGGATTCCAGCATACTGTCCATGATGGCAAATACCTATTGAAAATATAGGGCCAATTTCAGACTTAGTAAAACATGAACGGCCTCCTCATTAAATGAAGATCAAGCCAAGGACAACTGCTATTATTTAATGTTGCACCTTTTAGAAAACACAGTAAGATAGGAAAACTAAAGATACATTAGAAATAAAGAAGTTGGCTGTTCCTTATGTGCAAGTAATATAATTAATTTCTTGGGTTTTCCGGGAAGCCAAACTAAAAATCTGTTCAAACTAGTAAGGTATCAATAATCAATTACCTAACATAAACTTAAAAAATCAATAGCTTACCTATCTACCTCCCCTGGGCATAGGTTTCTGCACATAAGTCTGTGTGGAGCTGGTATGGAGATGCCCACACCAGTGGCAGTAGGGGGAGGTGTGCCTGTGTGTCTCTGTATGTGTCTGTGTGTCTCTGTGTTAGTGTGTCTCTGTTTCTGTGTGTGTGTGCCTGCGTGTGTCTCTGTGTGTGTGCGTGTCTGTGTGTGGGGGTCTGTTGCAGGGGGGTCTCTGTGTCCGTTTCTCTCTGTGTCTGTGTCTTTGTGCATGTGTGTCTTTGTGTGTGTGTGTCTTTGTCTCTCTCTGTGTCTGTGTCTATGTGTGTGCCTGCATGTGTCTGTGTGTTTGTGTGTCTCTGTGTCTGTGTGTCTCTGTGTGTGGGTGTCTGTGTGTGGGTGTGTGTGTGTCCAGGAATCTCCCAGCTCTCTAAGCTCCATCGCCATCACCCAGGAACACGATGTCCACAGTGGGCCTGCTCTGCCAACCAGCTCAGCTACCCTGAAGCCACTTTTCCTGGTCACCCACCCAAAACACCCCACACCACTGCCCCCTCAGGCTGGGCACTCTAGGAACATGCCAGTCCCTGTTTTAAGGACATCTGTTGTATGTGGCCCCCGGGATGCCCCCAGGGAAGTCATACTTAGGTTGGGGCCAGAGTTGAAGGCTGAGCCTCCTCACCCACAGGGAGGGGGAGGGAGAGGAGGGCGGCACTGTGACGCACACTCACTGGCCCAAGGCCGGGAAGGGGTGGCTGGCGGCAGTCACAGTGACATTTGGGAAATGCCAGGGGCTGGGTTCTGGCCCAGAAGGCGGGTGTGGGCCATGACAGGGCGGGGGTGGGGTTATTCCCCAAGCCTGAGACCACAAGATACCAGCTTTGCCAACAAAACTCCACTGGGCCAGTGGTGCCAGGGGCCACAGGGCCAGGGCCCAGCCAGCAGCAGGGGCCAGAAGAAGAAACAGGAGGCCGGGTTCGGTGGCTCATGGCTGTAATCCCAGCACTTTGGGAGGCCAAGGTGAGCAGCTCATCTGAGGTCAGGAGTTCGAGACCAGCCTGACCAACCAACATGGAGAAACCCCATCTCTACTAAAAATACAAAATTAGCCGGGCGTGGTGGCACATGCCTGTAATCCCAGCTATTCGGGGGGCTGAGGCAAGAGAATCACTTGAACCTGGGAGGTGGAGGTTGCGGTAAGATCATGTCATTGCACTTCAGCCTGGGCAACAGGAGCAAAACTCCATCTCAAAAAAAGAAAAGAAAAGAAAAAAAGAAACAGAGAAGCTGGGGGGGGTCTTGGCTGCCATCCTCCTCCAAGACCCACACGATCCATAGGCGCCCACCTGACTGTCCCCGGGTTCCCTCAGGAGCCCCCAGGCCTCGTGTTCCATCAGCCTCTGAACTCCCCTTGTCCTGGAACCCACAGGGACCCAGGCAGCCCAGAACCCACACAGTGGAGCCCTCATGACCCAGGAGCCAGCTCTGACTCCTGACCTCCTGGCTGACCTCAGGCAAGACACAGCCCCTCTGGACCTCAGTTTCCCCAGATGTAAAGCAAGAAGTAGAGAGCCTATACGGGCCACTTCCTGCCCTCATCTTTGTTCCTTCCTTTCTTCCTTCCTCCTTCCTTCCAGAACTTGTTCAGTCAAGTCAGCATCCCTTGAGGCCCTTGTGGCCTATGCCACACATTCAGAACGGAACAGCCCATGGACCTTAGTGTCTTTGGGGAAACAGACACAACTCCATGGCATGGCATGATCTCTTCAGGATTGGGGGTCCATGCTGGGTGTCAGGGAGGCACAGCGGTGGGGAACTAACTCTGTAGGGAGTAGTCACGAGGGCTTCATGGAGGAGGTGATTCTGAGACCAGCTTCCAAGGATAACCAGGGGTTTTCCAGTGGATTAAGGGGGAAAAGGGAGGTTGACATGACAGTTTGGTCTCCTTCCTCTGGTCATTCACCAGCAGTTCCCTGGAGGGCGAGGCCCAAAAGCCCAAAGGTGTGGGGGATGCAGGCAGCTTCCCCTGCACTAAGTCAATTCTCATGCATCCCACCAAAGCCAGTGTGATACTCTCTCCCCCAGGCAGCCCTTCCTGACTGCCCGCCCCTCCCCCTCCAATGGATGGCACTGCTGTGGCCCACGTATCTGTGAGTGTGTGACCCTGGGTTGTGCTGTCCCCAGTGCCCCCTGCATCCTGGCCAGGCCTGGACCCCCAACACACAGAGGGGGCGGGCTAACATAAGAGGCCATGGGGCTCTGCTCTCCTTCCCCTGGCCTATGACCCGCTGAGGGCTAAAGTCCTTATCCCACCTCGGCTGGGGGAGCTGAAAGAAGGTGGCTCAAGTTAGCAGGCCCAGCAAGATGGCCTTTGGGCCTGGGCAGGCTGTACTGTCCTGTACTGTACCCAGGGCTGTACTGTCCTGAGCCAGCAGATGCAGGCGTGGGCAGTGTGGCCAGGAGGCAGGGCAGCAAGGAGCCTGCAGGGTGGAGCAGGCCAGGCTCTGCAGGAGCACACGCAGCCTAGACCTCTCCCTAGACTCTAGACTGCCCACACCCCTGCCAGGCAACACCTCCGGGGTTGGAGGTGTTGAACTGTCCCCGCTCCCACCTGCTGCACCTGCCATCTTGCCCACCTCTAAGGGCAACACCCTCCTTCCTGCGCCAGCCTGACTCTTTCCCATCTCAATGAAAACAGCCTACCCAGCACGATCTCCAGGTTCTGCCTTCAGAATACCCCGAGGATCAGTCCTTCCCTTCTCCTCCTCCTCTGCCATCTCCCAAGGCTGGGACTCTCATATGTCCCCGGACCACTGGGGTGGGACCCTGCTAGCTTTACCCCTCCCAGCAGCAGTCAGCAGTGCCATGGTAGCCCCATGGGGAGCACACCCTGCTCTGCTACCTCCCACTGCAGCCCAGTCACCCCGCTGGCTCTCCCAGCCATGCCACCTCCCTGACCTCACTGTCCCACCTCCTCATGGGCTCTGCTCCTGATGTCCCAGTCTCCAATCTGGCCCCAACATGCAGGCAGCTTCCACTTCAAAGTTCTGCCCTGGCCTTTTCCTAGTATGCACCCCACATAGCTCCCTCCCTCCCCTCCTTCAGCAGGTCCTGTGCACATGTCTCCTCTAGCCACTGTACCTAAGGCACAGACAGCCCCCTCTTCACTGGTGGTCAGCATGCTGGGCACCAAGTGTATCAGACCCCTGGTTGCTGGGGAAGTAGCACTGTCATTGCAGGTCCGAATGAAACTGGGTGGGGCCGTGGGGTCCACCTGTCTCACAGCAGTGACTGGAGTACTGGTCTGGGGTATTTAAATGCCAGTGAAGGGCCCTCCCCCCTCCCCTACCATGTGACCCCGTCGGCCTAGGTCCCTGAATGAGGGTGGCCTGGACCAGGGCTGACACCAGTGAGTGGAAACTGCACCGTGTTGTTGTGAGCCGAGGGACTTGGGGCTGCTCTGTTGCTGCAGAATGACCTGAACTACCTTCACTGCTGAACTCCTCACAGGCCCTGCTGGCTCTCCTACATTGCTTTTTCTCTAACCCTCAGCACCAGGTGGCACTCCACCCATTTTACCTACCCATTGTGCTTGTTTCTTTCCTGTGTGGGCACCGTGAGGACAACACCCTCCTTCCTGTGGTGTTTGGTTCCCTGCTGAACCGCAGTGCCTACACACAGCAGAGGCCCAATAAATGCGTGCTAAGTGAAGGAAGGAAGGGACAGATGAGTCCTGCATCTTTCACGTGGCCAGGCCGGGGCTCAGCTCCATGCTGTGGGCGCTCAGAACCCAGGGGGCTGCCGCACCCGAATCACACCGCCTTGCGCCTCTGGGAGTGGGTCTCCATAAACAGCATGAGAAATGCCTATGCTCCACGCTCAGGTCCTCTCCAGGGCCAGTTCTCCACCTGCGCCCCACAGCGCCTTCGCACCTGGAGCGTACACTCCTCAAAGCCCCACGCTGGGCTCCACTCTCCCTAAACGCACAGGCGCGCCTGGGGCTCACAAGGCACAGGCACGGCCGCCTCCCTCCCACGTGCCATGAATAAGCGCGCCCGCGCTTCCGCAGCCCTCCCCCGCCACCACCTCACACAGACCACACACCGTGGACCACCCCTCGCCCGGCACAGCCTTCTCGAAGCAACAGGTGGTTCTGCGCCCCTCAAGTAGTCCGGGCTCTTATACACCCGAAAGTGCCCGTTACGGACAGACCCCTCTGGTGCCTGCTGCTGGGGCGCCTGTCCCCACCCCTTCCAGGCTCACAGGCTGTGCTCTCAGCGTCTGCGGGCCGCGCCGCGAAGGGCACGGCAGAAGGGGCAGGCTGGGCGCCGCCCACCGGGCAGCAGGTGCTCCAGCGGGGACGCACAGAGGGAGGAGCGTGGGTCCTCATGACGGGCTCCCTCCCGCGCGAGTCGGGATGCAGGGGACCGTCGCACCCCTCCCGAGCCCGATAACGCAAGAACCCTGCCCCGCGGTCCCGCACCTGGGCCCGCCACAGCCCTACCTGGGGCTCCAGGAACATTCTGGTCGCCGCATCTAGCGAGCAGCGGTTCCTCTGACCGCGAGTTGAGCAAGCGCCCACTCCTGCGCCAGCCCCTGCCGCTGGGCGCCTCCGCTGGAGGGGTGGGACCCGGGACGCGGGGAACCGAGAGGCTGGGCTGGGGACCGCGGGGTCCGGGCAGCGCAGAGGGGCCGCGAGGCCAGCCAGGAACGCGGGGCGGGGCCGAGGCTAGGAGCATGGCGCGGAGGTGGGGCAGGGACCTGGGGCGGCCTGGAGTGCTGTCAGGGGGCGCAGCCTGGGCTGGGCGTGCGCCTGGCACTAAGTGTGGGGGCGTCGTAGGTGCCGGGGTGTGGGGCTGGGCGGGGCGTCCGGGGTGGGCCGTACCGGGGGTCTGTGCTAGCGCGCGGAGCGGGCGAAGGGGCGCAGCGTGGGTCGGGGCTCGGCTCGAGGAGGGGACGCCTCTCACCCCGCCCCGGCCTCACCTGATCGTAGACATCCACTACGGAACTACAGCAGGTGCTCTGCCAGCATTTGGCTTGAATGCCTCCCCTGACGGGGCGCTCACTCCACACATCTCTGGCCTGAGACCGGCGTCGCACAGAACTCCCTGTCCTTCCATTTCCTTGGAACGCGGGGGCCACGGCAGCTGCTTTTGTGGGAGGACTGATCTGAGCCACGGCGAGGGGTGGGCCGGGCACATGGCACAGTGAGGCGCCTCCCGCCCCCAGAGCCCCAGCCTCAGAAGCAATCTGTCAGGTGACGGGGCTCCCCCTCCGCGAGTCCCTGCAGTGGACCCCACTCCCTCAGAGGATGTGGACGGGAAAGATTCGCGGAACCGAAGAGCGCCCTCTCCTGGGGCCTGGATTGGAGCATCCAGCACCTGAGCTGGGTGAGAGACCCATGGGTTCTGGGGGGGTCCAAGCTGGCCGGCGGGGCGGCCACTAGGGAAGAGCGGGGTATGCTCAGGTTGAACCTCACAGAGAGGCTCTTACAACCCCGGAGAGCTCGCAAGCCATGGGCTGATGGACAATCGTGACCCTGAAGACATCTGGCGGCCCCGGGACGCCCATACCCTCACCCCACCTCCACCCCACGGCTCTTGCCCAGGCCTTGCCAGAGGCCCTCTGCCTCCCAGCTTATTTGCCTGCTCACTTACTAGCAGCAAGAGTACCTACTAGGCTGGTTCGATGGGCAGTTGTCTCTGTCTTGGGAAAGTAGGGGCTGTGCTGGGTCCATTCACTGGCCTCCCTCAAGCCAGCTCAAGGGCCTGGAGACAGAAGTCCTTCTCCTGGAGCACTGCCCTCTCACCCGCCCTTCTCTACCAGTGAGTGTTGGCTTGGCCTGGAACTGCTTCCCACTGCTCAGAGCATGCACTATACATTACTGCCTGGTATGCAGTGCCTCTGGGTGGGCAGTGCGGGGAGTACGAGGCAACCAGGCAGAAATGGCATAGTGGCCCTCCAGCTTTCACAATGTCCTCCCCCACTTTTGCTTCTGCATCTTGTTTCAGGCCAGCCAGAAGATGCAAAGCTCATGGTGACCTTGGCAGGTGGACAGGTGGCATCAGGATGGTCTGGGCCTGCAGGGCCACCCTGTCCCTTCAGGTGGCTTCATGGAGAGCACCAAGAAGGTGAAGACTGGTGTCTTGCTCCTGGGGAAGCCTTCCAGGCACCTGCCCCTGCCTTCCTCAGCCCTGTACCATGGCCCTGCAGAACATCTCGGCCCTGGGGTGAACCCAGTGTTGTCTCAGGAAGTCCGTGTGAGCAGTTGGCCCTGCTGCCTCCTGACCCCAGAGCGAGCATCCCCTCTGCCTCCCTGAATGTGACACTCTAGAGGAGGTGGCGGATGGGTGGGCAGTCCCACAAGCCTTCTTACACAGTCACAGGGTCGCTTCCCATCGTGCTCATCCCAGATTGCACCAGTGTCACCCAACGACCTTGATAAGGCAGACATTTCCCCAGAAGGAATGGGGCCCTTGCCCCCGTCTCTGGCTGACACAGATGGTGCTATCTCCTTTACCCACCAGTGTGACCTCAGCATTCATGTGTGACCTGACCCACATCCTTCCTGGTGCCTGAGGATGTGAGGAGGCTGCTGTGCTGGGGCTGAGCCCTGCCAGGCGTCCTGCTTTACATCCCTGCAGCTGGGACTGAGGCCGTCCTGCAGGGAGGGCCGGTGGGGCCTGAGGCAGAATCCCACTGCCACTTCAGAAAGCAGAGAAAAAGCCAGATGTGATGGGGCCAGTGGCCATCTGCTGGGGCTTCATGGAGACCAGACACACAGGAAGAGGCACTTTCTCCAGATGCCTCCTCTAGGGGCAGGGCACAAGGCCTGGAATGGGGCTGCTTCTGACCAGAGCAACAGATGCTGCTCTGAGGATGGCGAAGCCTAGAGCAGGCAAGCTGTCAAGGTTCTGAGTTGAGGGTCTCAGGACAGAAGCCTGGACTCCCCTTGATATGATTTGGGTGTGTGTCCCCACCCAAATCTCATGTTCAATTGTAATCCCCAGTGTTGGACTGGCGGGAGGCGATTGGATCATGGGGGCAGAGTTCTCATGAATGGGTTAGCACCATCCCCTCAGCGCTGTTCTCCTGTTAGTGAGTGAGTGAGTTCTGGAGGGATCTGACTGTTTGAAATTGTGGGGCACCTCCCCCTTCTCTCACTTGCTCCTGCCATGTCAGACCTGCCTGCTCCCACTCTGTCTTCCACCATGAGTGAAAGCTCCCTGAGGCCTTCCCAGAAGCAAATGCTGCCACGATTCCTATACAGTTCGCAGAGCCGTGATCCAATTAAACCTCTTTTCTTTATAAATTACCCAGTCTCTGGTTTGTTTGTTTGTTTGTTTGTTTGTTTTGGAGATGGAGTCTCCATCTATCGCCCAGGCTGGAGCGCAGTGACATGATCTCAGCTCACTGCAACTTCCACCTTCTGGGTTTAAGCGATTCTCTTGCCTCGGCCTCCTGAGTAGCTGGGATTACATTACAGGCGTACACCACCATGCCCGGCTAATTTTTGTATTTTTAGTAGAGACGGGGTTTCACCATGTTGGCCAGGCTGGTCTCAAACTCCTGACCCAAGTGATCTGCCCACCTTAGCTTCCCAAAGTGCTGAGATTACAGGCATGAGCCACCGCGCCTGACCAAGGCCCTTCTTTATAGCAGTGTGAGAACAGACTACTACACTCGCAAAGGCTCCCTCTCAGAGTCCACCCTTGCTGTCTCCACACAGCAGCCAGAGGGGATCTCTTAGAACCTGAGTTAGAAGCTCTCTGACTCCCACCTCAATCTCAATGAAGGCAGAGTCCTAACGAATAGCCCCATCAGGGACCTCAGTGCTCCCTGCTCAGCCTTGACATGCCCTGCCCACCCTCGCCTGAGTGGAATGTGCTCTGCAGTGTCTGTGCCCCCCACCCCAACAGGCCACCTTCCCACTAACACAGCTGCAATGCCACCCTCTGCCCCAGCACTTTCCCGCCATGGAACGGTTTTCCTCAAGGTTACTGGGTCCAGCAGAGCCTTTCCACCTCCTGGTTCGTTCGTCTGCTCTCCTGAGAATGCGACCTCCATGAGGGCAGGATCTTTGTTTTGTTCACTGCTACATCCCAGTGACTGTAACATGTCTGTGCACAGAGGCACTCAGAACCTATGTATGTGCACGTGTGTGTGTGTGTGTAGACAGATATAGAGACACAGGCGTGGATACGATTTGGTTGTATATATCCAGCACAGGACTCATAACGAAAATATATAAAGAACTCATGTAAATCAAAAAAGTCAGAAGACTCAATATTTTACAAATGGGCAAAAGACTTGAAGACATATTTCACTGAAAGGCGGCTATCCAAGGGGTGATAGGCCTAAGAGAGCACCCAGCTCCATGACTCATCTGGGGAGGGCACTAAACTGCAGTGTGGCACCCTGCACACCCGGCAGCATGGCTACTATCAAAAGCCAGAAAATGCCACATGCTGATGAGATGGCACAACCCAAACTCTCAGCTGCTGGCGGCACGGCAGAGTCAGCTGGTGCAGCCAGGCAGGAAAACAGCCCAGTCATGCCTATGAACACCGACCACACCAGGACCAGAAATTCCATCCTGGATGGAGGCCGGGCAGAAACACTAGAGACTCACACCGAAGGACACACACAGGAGTGTCTGCAGCAGCCCTACTCACAAGGGCTTCCAACTGAAAATGACCCAAGCACCCCCCACAGGGGACTGGGTTTCCACCAAGCTGCGGCATGTGTCACTCAATGGAACGCTCCAGGCTGAGGATAACCCGCCCAGACAACCACAGGCAAGGGCAGGGAGTCAAGGACACCATGCACAAAGAGCATCTCAGGTTGGCCCCACGCGGAGCCAGCTCAGGGCCAGTGAGGGCACCCTCACCCCCAGAGGTCTGGGGTACTGCCCTGGGGCAGGGGCTGAAAGGGGCTGGATCTGAGTGTCCCCGCGTAGTCACCCCATGAAAAATCACTAAGTGTACACTGTGGCTCTGGCTCAGGCATGTTTCTGTGTGTGTTACACTTCAATCGCATGAAGAAAATTGAAGGAGAGAAAAATAAGAGAGAATATCTGGGCCGGGACAGGCAGAAGCTGTCGGCACCTCAGGGCCTATCTAGGTCAGCTGTGGCCACACCTAAGGGAAGAAGGGATGTGGAGGAAGGGGCCTAAGCCTCCCTCCGCTCATCCCCCCAAGAACAAAGGCGGAGTTAGGGCAAAACCCTCTTCTAAAAGGCACAGCCTACAGGGTCAAGCAATGGCAAGTGAGAGGCATCCACTGGTTTTGGAGGATGGAAGGTGGCCTGAGGCAGGTGACAGACCTTGCAGAACAGAGAAGCAGGAGCCCAGTGCTCCACGCGGGCTGACGAGGACCACGCCGGTGCTGCAGAGGCCCTGATGAGGCTCAGCCCATGGGGCCTTGGGTTCCAGGAGGAGGGTTAAGGGACAGAAAGGCTCTAGCCCCCGACCCTGCCCTGCTGGTGCCACCTCATTACCGGACCACACCACATTGTCCAAGAGCTTCGGGTCCAAACCCTGAGGGTGATGGTGCCTACCTCTCTATCCTCTCCAGGACATGAAGTGGGACCCATGATGCCAATTCACAAGGGTGTTGGCAAAACATGAAGCAAAATGAAGCAAGCCCTCAGTGAGCTCCAGAGGCTCCTCAGACAGCCCCTGCCTCCAATGGGGTTTGAGGGCTCGCACTGTCCCCAGGCTCAGGCCTGATGTCTGCCAGACTCAAGCCTCCTGCACACACAGCTACAGTCTGCAGAAAGGCCTCTCCAGGCTCCTTCAAGGCTGGTCAGCACCCCTGGGCAGAGGCCACTGATGGCCCCAGTCGAACCCACACCCAAGCAGACCCACAGGCTCCAGGGAAGGTTGTCTGGCAGCCAGCCCCGTCCCTTGGGTCAGTGGAGAACCCCTAAGTCTTCTGGAATTTCCCTCAGGCTATACCATTAGTGCTCCCTTTTGGAGAATAATGTTCCATGCACTGAAACACTCATGGCTTTAGGCAGAAGGCATGAAGGAGGGGGTGAATGGGAGTCAGCTGAGCTTTCTGATGTGCAAGGCAGCATCCTTCCAGGC